CGGGAGAGGCAGGCAGGGGCAAGGTCGGGTGGGGGTCAGCCTCCTTCTGGGCGGGCGAGGCCCAGCCGCATGCACCTCCACCTGGGGGCAGCACAGATCGAGTGTCTGGCCCGCCCCTCCCCACTCAGCTGCCCATGCCTCAGTGCACCGACTGAATGGCCCCCTAATCCCTGACACACCACTGGCCCAGCACCAGCCCCACCTGCCAGCCCCCAGCCCCCAGCAGTGAGGGTGCCCACCTTAGCTCGCAGCTCAGACTCGGGACAGCCCACCTCCCAGGCCAAGCTGGGAGACGGCCCAGGATCCGCCCTGCCTTGCTGTGTGACCCCGGGTAAGTCCTTCCCCTCTCTGGGCCTCGGTCTCTGTAGCTCAGTCCCCAGAAATCACATCAGCCCCTTTAGCTTTGGTTTTCCCCAGCTCCCGCGCTGTGGTCTACACCCCAGACTGTGTGCGGAGAGGACTCACCTTGCTTGGCTGCGGTTCACCTGGTGCTATGATCATAGGTGCTGTGTCCCACCAACCAGGCACACAGGGCAGGGAGGGTAAGCAGTGTTGTGGCCCTGGATCCAGTCAGGGTCTCTGGGTCACAGAGGGTGAGTGTGGATGACACCCCGCAGAGAGGTCGGGAAGTCTGGGCGGGACCTCTCCACTGGCGGGCACGGCGGGCATCACCGGCAGGCGGATGGAGCCACAGGTTTCCGAGGGAGAGGACGGAGAGGAGGGAGAGGGCCTAGGGCCTCGTGGGGCAGAAGGACCAGCTCTCCCAGCCATCAGCGGCTGAGATGTGGCTAGGCCCAGCCTCCCGCCCCATCCTGGCTGCACGTGTGTGTGTGTGTGCGCGCGTGCGTGCGTGCATGTGCAAGTGTGTCTGTGCATGCGCACGTGTGTGCGTACGTGTGTCTGTGTGTGCACGTGTGCGTGTGCATGTGTGAGCCGGTCTTCAGGCCTGCTCTGTGCAGTGCCTCCGGCCGGGCACGCAGTGTGTGTCCCATGGGCAGCTGTGTGCACTTGAGACTTGTCTCTTGGGACCTGGCCGTGTACCAAATATAGGCCTGGCCTGGTGTGACACACACACACGGCTCGTGTCGGCTCCTCCGGGCAGGGACGTTTGTTGGTCATGTTCCGTGTTCAGTCCGAAGCACCTTGAACAGGGCCTGGCACACAGCAGGGCCAGGCGCACTGGAGTGGATGAACACATGTGGGCACTCTTATGCCCACCTGCCTGCCCATGTGCACCTGTGTCCAAGGGCGCACCTGCCGTGGATGGCGTTGCTCCTACACTGCCTCTCCTATTCCTGCTCCAAACTCCTGGGGAGCCAGGCTCCGTGCCTGGGTCCCCGCGGGCGTGGGCGGAGCAGGGGGCCGCCTCCTCAGGGGAAACCAGATCCCTGGACGTGCGGAGCAGCAGGGACAGAGGCGGCCCCTTTGTCCCCCGTAATCCCCTCTAGCCCCTGCCCCCTCCCTACACCACCAGGGTTTAAGGTCAAATCTGGGGGCTGTGGAGGGCACCTCTCCCTCCCAGGCTGTCACTGCCTCCAGGACTTCCTGGGCCTGGACCACACGCGCCCTCAGGGGCTTCCCGAGCCCCTCCGTCATGTCCCCCGCCATGTCTGCCTCGTCTGCCGGGACCCTGTCCACTGCCCGCCCTCCTTCCACAGGGTGTGACTCCTTCCCTCCCTCCTGGGCAGCTCAAGGGGTTGGCCCCAGGTATAAAGCCACTTCAGGGCCAGAACAGGCAAGGGAGAGACCCAGAGACTGCAGAGAGGAGGGAGCCCGGAGAGAGCATGAGCTGTCGGCTGGGTGAGTGAGGGCCAAGAGCACAGGGCCCAGAGCCGGGAGGGAGGCGCCCTCCCCCTGTCCAGCTGCTCTGGCGCATGTGCCTGGGGACGGGGCACCTGCTGACACCTCGGACTCCTCACCCTTCCTGTGCACCAGTTGTCCAGCTCACATTCACTGAGTGCCTAGTGTGTGCTAAGTACAGTTGCCCCTTGGTACCTATGGAGGATTGGCTTCAGAAATTCCTTCCCTCAGGAGACCAAAATCTGAGGATGCTCAAGTCCCTGACAGAAAATGGTGTGATGTTTGCATATAACCCACACAATCTCCCAAGTACTTTAACTGATCTCTACATGACTTTTAATATCCAATACAATGTAAATGCTGTGCTGATAGTTATTGTACCATATGGATTAGGGAATAGTGACAAGAACAAGTCTATGCATGTTCAGTAGCAGAAGCAAGTTTCCATTTGCAGTTAGTTGAATATGTGGATGGAGTGGACAGATGCGGAGGGCTGTCTGGACCGCCCGAGCTTTTGGGGACACCACTGTGAACAGGCAGGAAAACACTAAGGCCTGGTGGTGACTTCATTGTGCAGACACAGGACACAGGCAATTCGGAAGGAAACTGTAATGCCAGTGCGGCAGGAGATGAGCTCACTACGCTTCCGCTTGCTTCTGGGAAGGGCCTTCTCTTTCAACCTTTTCTTGATTGGTTCTGAAGGGCTGGGAACTCAAGAATGTAGAAAGGGGAAACAGGGGGCCCCTAGGTTTGCTTCTCATCTCCTTCGCTTCCTAGGAGGTGACAGGTCATTTCCCTCTGCTCTCAGAGGCAGGGACATAAATGGGGCCAACCCTTTGGGAGGACAATTTTGTATCACATATTCAAACTGAAAATAAGCCTGCCCGGGCTGAGGATGCAGCACAGTGGTGGAGCACTTGCCTAGCATGTGCAAGGCCCTGGGTCCGTCCACAGCACCTCAGGAAAAAGCATAACCTTGGATCCAGGTAGCCAGAAAGAGGCTAGAATAAGGCTGTTCACAGCACCTTCCTTCCTTCATTCATTCAAGAAATGTTTATTAAGAAAAATCAGCAATGAATGAAGCAGGCAGCTTCCCCCTTTTCTAGAGCTGACAATCTCAGATAACAAAAATTCCTGAAGATAGTCAGGGAGAGGGAGGGATTTTGGCAATGGGGGTCAGGACAGCTTAGCTGAGTTGGGCCCTGGAGACTGGAAAGAGCCAGCCTAGGGAGGGTTTGGGGTCCCCCTGACAGGGCACTGCAAGGGTAAAAGTCCCAGGGAAGAATACCAGCAAAGCAACAAAGCCAATGTAGAGGGACCAAGCCTCTGCAGACCCACTGAGGACTTTGGTTTTTACTCTGAGTAAGGTGGGAGCCGTGGGAATGTTTGAACAGGGGAGGACACAGCAGGACTTGTGGCCAGGGTGGATGGAAGTAGAGACCAGGGAGGGGTGAGAGGTGCTGGGGGCTTGGATTGAGGTGGTAGCAATAGAAGGAGGTAAAGTGGCCAGATTCTGAAAACATCTTTGAAAAGTTTGTTTTATTTATTTTCATTTTTATTTATTTATTTTTTCACTTTTATTTGTTTGTTTGCTTGTTTATTTATTTTTTGGAGAGGTTTTACTATGTGTTCAGGTCAGCCCTGAACTCACTATGTAGCCAGGCTGGCCTCAAACTCACAGCCATCCTCCTGCCTCAGCCTCCAAGTGCTGGATTACAAGCATGCTCCACCACACCTGGCTAAAAAGTTTTTTATTGAAAGTAATACATATACAGAAAAATACACAAATCATAAGTGCACAGCTCAATACATTTTCACAGAGACTATATCCTTTTTTGTTATTGTTGTTACTGAGGATTGAACCCAGGGCCTTTGTAATGAGCTAATTCCCCAGCCCTTTTTTATTTTTTATATTGAGAGACAGGGTCTCAATAAGTTACAACTGGAAGAATGCTGAGGGGTGGGGGGGTGGATACTGAGTTGAGTAGTGGGTATTTTGGGGTTTTGGGGGGGGGTGGTACTGGGGATTGAACTCAGGATCTTGCACTTACAAGGCAGGCAGTGGAACCACTGAGCTAAATCCCCTGCCTGATTGCTTCTATACTAAAATTGGAATGATTCAGAGAAAATTACCAGGGCCCCTGAGCTAGGATGACATATAATTCATAGAACATTTCATGTTTTAAAAAAGAAAGAAGAGGGCCGGGATGTAGCTCAGGGGTGAAGCGCATGCCTGGCAAACATGAGGCCCTGAGTTCGATTTCCAGTACCAAAAAATAAAAAAATAAAAAAGAAACATTTGCCTTGGGTACTTTTTTTTTTTTGAACCGGGGATTGAACTCGGAACCTTGTGCTTGGGCAGCGCCACTGAGCTAAATCACTGGCCCCCGCCTTGGGTACTTTTAAAATAGAGTCAATGGGCCAGGGATTTAGCTCAGTGGTTCCTGCGCCTGCCAGGCAAGTGCGAGGTCCTGAGTTCGATCCCCGGTACCAAATAAATAAATAAATAAATAAATAAATAAAATAGAGCCAAAATGATTTACTGTGGGATTGGATGGTTAGGGAAGAAAATGTGGTTTTCAAAAGGACTCCCCACCCTGGCCGGTCGTGGTGGCACACACCTGTAATCCCAGCATTCAGAAGGCTGAAGCAGGAGGATTGCCTTTAGTTTAAGGCCAGCCTGGGCTCCACAGTGAGTTCAAGGTAAGCATGAACTACACTGTGAGACCCTGTCTCAAAAAACAAAAACAAGTTCCACTGTCTGCCCTACAAGAACTGGAGTTCTATCCCTGGTACAAAAAAACAAACAAACAAAGAGGACCCCCATACTTTGGGCCTGAGCAAGTGGAAGGATGCTGGAGGGGAAGAAAGACAGAAATACTGAGTTGAGAAGTGGGTATTTAAGATGTTTATTAATGGGCCAGGGATTTAGCTCAGTGGTTTCACCACCTGCTACCCAAGCACAAAGACCCGAGTTTGATCCCCGGTACCAAAAACAAAAAAAAAAAGAAAGATGTTTATTAATGTGCAAGTGAAAATGTCAAGTAGCAAGTTGAATATGTGGATCTGGAGTTTAAGGATGTTCAAGTGGAGTTCTGGGCTGGAAAAATAATCTACCTACAGGGTGATTCTGCCCTGGCCTGGAGGTACAAGATAATTGCAGGCTATGAGGCTGTACCCTTTGGGAGCTGTCAGGATCAATGAATGAACTGGCAGCCAGGGCTCAGCCTCAAGGACCCGGTGCTGAGCTTGGATTTCCTCTGCCAGCCCCCCTCTGCCTGCTGAGCCTGCTGTTGCCATCCCCGAGTCTGGCAGCCCCCATCTCCCCCGCTGAGCCCATCAGTCAAGCCTATAGCCTGGCCCTCTACATGCAGAAGAACACGTCCACGCTGCTGCAGACTTACGTGAGTGACATGCATGGGCTGAGTGGGGGATGGGTAGGGGCTCTGCCTGGGTTGGAGAAGCGGTCCCAGGAGACTCCGCTGCAGGGTCTGTGAACTAGAGACATTCACTTGAGTGCTGCCATGGATGGCTGGGTGTCTGGGGGCAAGTCATGCCTCTTCACTGGGTCTCATCTTCCTTATCTGCCAAATGGGAGGGTAATCCTGCCTTTGGTGTCTTCTCAGGTGCATTAGATTGTTCAAAGGACACACCCAAAGGAAGGGCTTTAATCTTCGCAGGCTGTATGTGCACCGCCCCCCCCCCAAGGGTTGAACCCAGGGTCACAGCACTGAGCTACATCCCCAGCCCTTTTTCATTTTTCATTTTGAGACAGGGTCTCACTAGGGTGTCCAGGCTGGTTCACTAGGTTGTTGAATTTGTGATCCCCCTACTTTCTTATCCCAGAGTACTGGGATTGCAGGAGAGTGCCACCACTCCTGGCTCCATCCCATGACCTACAGACTCCTCAGACCATGCTGAGAGATGGTTAGAATCCACAGTTCCACGCCACAGCCTCCCTGCCCTCACCTGACCCCTGCACATAGCAGTGCCACAGGCAGCCTGCTGCCTGGGTCTGCCCTGCAGATGGTCTTGGTCAGGCTCATGAGATCCTGTTCCCGTTTTAAATGTGTGTGCCTAAAACAGGCTTAGAGGTCCAGTGGCCAAAATTCCCACTTTGCCTTTCAGTACGACTCTTTCCCAAGTTATACTGCCTGGCCGTGGGGGCCTGGCGTTTGCAACTCTCCTACGACACTGTACAGAAGGGCCTTGTGAAGCTCTGCAATCTACAGGTTTCCTGTCTGCCACTATTCCCCAGACTCCCTCAGTACCCTGAGCCACCTGCAGAATGGGGGTGTCAGACTGGGTGATCTGCCAGTCAGAAGATCTCTCAGAGTGCATTCAAATTCTGTGACCCCCTTGAGCCGGTGTGGTGGCACACACCTGAAGTTCCAGCACTCAGGAGGCAGAGGCAGGAGGATCACCATGAGTTCAAGGCCAACCTGGGCTACATAGAGACCCTGTCTCAAAAACCAACAACTTGCGATTCGATGATCAACAGTATGTGGGGAGTGACCTAGGAGCCAAATGGCGCCCTTGCCCCGCATTAGGACATCCCACCAACTCTCCACTCTCAGAGGACAAGATGGAGTCAGAGCCTGCCATCACTTATTTCCTTGTTTCCATCTGTCTCTGTCCTTCTTGCAGCTCCAGTACCAGGGCAGCCCTTTTAGTGACCCTGGCTTCTCAGCCCCTGAGCTCCAGCTCAGCAGCCTGCCTTCTGCCGCAGTCTCCTTCAAGACCTGGCATGCCCTGGAAGACCGGGAGCGGCTAAGCCGTGCCCAGAGAGCCTTCCTGGCCTTGACCCAGCACCTCCAGCTCGTGGGGGATGACCAGATCGACCTGAATCCTGGTAGTCCTGTCCTGCTGGCCCAGCTCGGAGTGGCGAGACTAAGGGCCCAAGGTCTGCTTGGCAATGTGGCTGCCATCATGAACGCCCTGGGGCTGCCTATTCCCCCAGAAGAGGACACTCTAGGTCTTGTCCCCTTTGGGGCCTCCACGTTCGAGAGAAAATGTCGAGGGTATGTAGTGACCCGGGAATATGGGCACTGGACAGACAGAGCTGTGAGGGATTTGGCTCTGCTCAAGGCCAAGTATCCAGTGTGAAGGGTGGGACTTCCTGCCAGAGGCTGCCGCCATTTCTCTTTCACAGTGGTCTCTTTTCCACCTTTCTTCTGAGCTAGAGAAGGAGCTGCATCTAATCAGACAGGCTGTGTGCCATGTCTTTGGAATATTTCCTGGAAGCCAGGCCTCCATTCCTTACTGCCTCTGGCCTCCTTCCACATCGGGGTAGGGCTCCGCGGGTCCCTTTTGTGGATTCCCATCCAGTGGTACTGGTTTTCCTACTTCCTGGTTGGAAAGGAGACTCCCTCTGGAAGAGGCTTCAGGACAGCTGGTCTCCTTCCTGGGCTCCCTCGCAGATCTCCTCCCTGCAATTTTGGGGAAGTCCAAGGGCGGCCTAACCGTCTACCTCACTTCCTGCGCGAAGATACAGCCTTTCTGAGCGGACAGGGCTTCCTCCTCCGCGGTGCAGCTCGTCTCCTTTGCTAGTCTGTTTCTGGCCACTGTCCACCTCCTGTCTGAAGGAGCTTTACTTCTGAGTAGCGCGAGGCCAGGCCTGGAAGAAGTGAGGGTTCCTGTCACACCCCTTTGTGTTTGGCGTCTTCGGCCTAGGCTTTCACGAATTTCCCGTTTCTTCCGTGCCTTTTGGATATGTGGTGGAGGGGACCAGCTTGCTGCCCAGGGATCCTATGCATCTCAAAGCTGTCTCCTTTTCAACAACTGCATGTACGGGTAACTCTAGTTTTAATTTTGAACATTTTATTTACAAAATATTAACTATTTATTGTCAAATAAAACTGGTTTAGGGTTTTGCTTTTTCCCCTTTTTCTTGCCCTGACCGCAGCCCTGCTTGGGGAGAGAGAGCTGTGCAGGGACGGGACGGGGAAGCGAAGGGCAGGAAGTACTCGAGGGCGAAGAGGCGGCCTGACGGGGTGAGCGGGCAGCGTGCGGGCAGCAGGCAGGGGCGAGGGCAGAGGGGCTAAGAGACAGGGAGGCGGAGGTGAGGCCGAGGGAGCCTCGCGCGGCGAGAACACCAGGCCGGGGGCGCGTGCCAGGCAGGGACGAGTCCGGGAGAAAGGGGGCACCGCGGTGGGACAGACCCGGGTGGAGATGGGGACAGGCGGGGCGACGGGAGCGGGCGCGGCGCGCGGGCTCAGGCGGGGCCCCCGGGCAGCAGCTGGCCCAGGTCTCCCTCGGTGCGGCGCGTCCACTCGCGGTAGAGGCCGCACACGCGCAGCCCCAGCAGCTTGGCTGGGAAGACGCCCGCGGGGCCGGGGGCGGCCGGGGGCTCGCGGCGGGGCCCCGGGGCGGCGGCGCCCAGCGCGGCCAGCACGGCCTCCAGGGCGGCACCCAGCGCGCGGGTCTGGCGCGTCGCGTCCTCCAGGCGCCGCAGCAGGCGCAGCGCGCGCGGGCTCAGCTCGGCCTGGCGGTGGCGCACGGCATCCAACAGCGGGGGCAGCTCGGCCAGCGCCTCGGCGTCCAAGCGCAGCCGCTCGGCCAGCGGCAGCCCCGCGTGGCCCGGCGCCGGCGCGCTCAGGCCGGCCACCGGCAGCCGCGGCGGCGAGAAGCCGGGCGAGCCGAAGGGGGCTCCCTGGTGCTGCACCTGCGGAGACAGGCGGTAGGCGGTCAGCGGCTCGGCCCGGAGGGCGAGATCTGGCGCGGCCTTCTCCGCGGCCCCTGGGCGCTCCTGCCAGCGGAGACAGACCCCCTCCTGCCCGGGCAGTGTCTGAGCGGTTACCCAAGCACACGCGCCTCACACCGGTGCCTTTGTCTGCTCTTACCCAGTACAGAGCCAGTAAGTGTCCGCTTCCTGAGGCAGGGGTGAGCATGTGAAGTGCTTAAGACAGGGCCTGGCCCCAGGAGGGCTCGATAAATGTTGGCTCTTTTATTAATGTCGTCTGACGGACCAGGGTTCAAATCTCGTCTTGGCCACTTACTAGTTGAGCCACTCTATGCAAAGCCTCCTGGGAGCCCCAGTCTTCTTAGCTGTAAGGTGGCGAGGGAACTGCTCTCCACTCTTTCTTTCTACCAGGGCCTCTTAGAAATGTGGAAGACACTCCTCTTCCTGTACTCCCCAACCTTTGTACGTGTACCGAGCAGGGGCTCAATGAGTCACTAATTCTCATTTGAATAAACAAATGAAAGATAAAAGTGATTTGCAATTTGTTAAATGCTGTAATAACATTTCCCTTTGTAAACATCTTGCCTCTGGCTCAGGCATTATGTTTGTTGCTTTAAACACAATATTTCACACTCAGCATTGGGGAAATACTGTCCACTGTCCTAATTGTTACATTATTTTTATCATTACCGGCCAAAGCCTTAAATCAGGCAGGTTTACAGTCTGTCTGATACAAAACTACAGCCTTCTTCCACCACCCTAAGGTGCTTAGAGGATTATCTTCTTTCTTTGGGCAAAAATATTGGCAGACCCCTCTGCTCTCTAAACGTTCCTTTGTGGGACACAATTTTTGCCCAGGTTGAAGCCCCTTCTTGGCCTCTGGGCATATTCTAGTTAGAACAGTTCACTTCCATGTGTGACACAATCGCATAGAACCTAAGTCCCAGTCAGGTTCCTGCTCTCTCAGGCCGTTTCTGATTTTCAGCACCAAGGAGGGAGCTTCCAAGTTTAGGCAGACAGGTTATCATGTGGGGCACAGACAGAGTTCTCCTCCAGTCTGCTGTGCATCCCTCTCCAAAGCCTGGATTTCCACAGCTGGGGATGAGATTAAGCGAATGGGAGATGGAGGACCGCTGTGTCCTGTGGTTCCCCGTTCCCAGGCCCTTGGTACCCAAACCCCCATTCCCACTCACATATTCCTGGAGCAGCTGCTCAGCATATTTGGTGAGGAGGCGGGCAAGGCTGTGTGTCTGGCGGATCTTGGCCTCCAAGTGGGGAAGGAATGAGACTGAGGAGTCAGCCTGGGGGTCTTCTGGTGGGAAAGGGGGTAAGGATGAGGGCAGCCCCAACCCCTGTTCCTTGACCACTTCTCCCTGGGGCCAGGGAAGAGGGAAGGGGGCTCTTCCCTCCTGAGCCAGAAACTCTGCTCTGATTCTCCAGTGTTCAGAAGAATCTGTCCCATTCCAGCTGAGGGAAACTGAGGCACCAGACCATTGTCAAGCAGTTGTTCTATGTGAAATGTGTCCCCTTCTTCATATCACTGTTGAAATCCTATTAAAGCCAAGTTCAAATTCTGCCTCCTTAGTGCAGCCTCCAGATTCTCTCTTCCCTGAAATGAACTTTTTCCTCTGACTCAAGGCCATTTGTCCATACTTCCAAAGTAGCTCTTTTACCTCTGTGTATCAGATGTGTTCCAAGATCCCCTTGAGAACAGGGCTTACATGTCCTCTGTGACTGTTGGTAGAATGCAGCATCAGTGAAGCACAGAGCTTCAAACTGGAATATGCCTTAAGGCCCGTTTAACAGCAGCCCCATTCCCTCCTTATGCCCCGCTATGCAAAGCGCGGGCCTGGGCAGCCATGAATCAGCGTCCCCCCTCTCCCCGGCACAGGCCAGAGCTTGGCGCCTCGGGAGGACTACATTTCCCAAGAAGCACATGGCGGGCGCCCAGGGCATGCTGGGGATTGTAGTCCTGGCCCGGCGACTCCCGCCTCGCCCTGCCCCGCCTGTTTCCCACCGCCAGTAGCGATCCGCCGCCGCCTGGACGGTCGTCTCTGGTCACTTACTACTAGCTCCTCCAGCTCTAAGACTTCCTTCCCTAACTTCACCCCTCCTTCGGGCTCCACAGCACTTGAGTCTTTTCCAAATCTCAGAGAGGCCCCTGGCTGCCCCAGCTGCGACTCCAGCGCTCCCTTAGGGCGTACTCACCGGTTTGATCGGTGGTCTAACCCTCGAACTCAAGCCCCTGAAGCCTCAGCGCCAGGCCTTCCCCCAAGCCCTTGCGCCTGCCCGTCTCCCAGCTCACCCGCTCGTTACCTGACACTGGAGCCTGTTCTCCCCCTCCTAGGCCACTCCCTTCCCGAGCCGGGTGGCGAGGCCCAGACCCCAGCTGTCACCCCTTCTGACTCCTACTCCCCTCGGGGATCCAGCCTCCAGTCCCTCGGCCCCTTACCCAGACTTCCCTCCCTCAGGCTCATGCTGGCCCCTGGCTGATCCCGGCTCCCTCCACGCCCCCCTTCCTAGGTGGAAGAAGGGGAGAAGGGGTAGGGGCGTGGCCCAGACGCAACCAATCATAGTCCAGACCCCAAAGAGGATTTCCCCTCTCCCCCGCCCCCCCGTCGGCTCCAGGCAGATTCCTAGTCTCTGAGCTCAGCTCCCGCCTGCTGGGCCTAGTCCGTGAAGAGGCCCACAGAGGCAGGTTGTTGGCGCGGTGAATGGACCTGGGGGCTGGGGGTGTCGGGGCCCGGGGCCAGCCCTGTATGCTGCTGGGAGAAGCTTCAGGTTCTGACCTGAGGCTGGGCTGGAAGTCTGGGCTGCTTTGGGGTTAAAAGTGGGGCACAGGAGGAGGAAGGTGCCGGCTGGCAGGACAGGGACTTTGAGGCCCTCCCTCTTGGCTGGGGGGCGTGGAGCAGGGTGACTCCGAGCACTCCCATCTAGACGCACACCTATCCCGTCTTCGATGCCTTCCACTTTTATCCTCACACTTGCCAGGGGCACAGACCACCCCCCTCCCTAGGCCCAGGAACAGAGCAGCCCCTGCCCACACACCTGCACCTGCTGAAGGACAGGTAAGGTGTCCAGTCTCACTCCAGTGAGAACAAACTTCAGAGACCTGTTCAGAAGGTGGCAACCACACAGCAACCCCACTAGCTGGAGTGACACCGAAGGGACTGGACACACGTCCGCAGCTGGCTCCCACGCCCCGGCTCTGCTGGGCTCTGGGACAGTCCCGGTCTGCATTTGTTCTCTGGTCCCTGCAGGAACTCATAGCTCGAGAGGACCCAACAACAGCAGGAAACTGAGTTTAGGAACTGAAGGACTGAGAGGAGGCCTGTGTGTCTGAGGCCAGGACCAGACAGCTGCCAGTACAAAGGAGGTCACTGGCTTGGCCACTCATCAGCAGGGGTCACAGCACACACTTATCAACAGAGTCCTTGTTGTGTGCCAAGCGCTGTCCTAACTTACCTCTGTGTTACAGATGAGGAAATGGAGGTGAGTGGCTTGTCCAAGGTCGCACTGTAACGCAGTGTGACAGAACTGGGATCTTACCTCAGCAGTTTGGCTTCAGAAATGCTGCTATCACTAGCTTCCTAAGCCCTTCACCTCTCTGGGCATGATCACACCAAAACTCACAGACATGCCTTTGAAAACGTACACAGGGACAGCAGCACAAATTTAGATACAGTCTTCATCTGCTGACTGGGTGGCCTCAAAGCAACCATGGGGCCAGGCATGGAGCTGCACACCTGTAGTCCCAGCCCTCAGGAGGCTGGGACAGGAGGGTTGTCTCGAGTTCAAGGCCAGCCTGGGCTACATAGTGAGTTCAAGGCCAGATGGACTATGCAGTGAGACCCTGTCTCAAACAAAACAGAACAACCACATCACATTAAACTTTTAATTGAACGATAAGGCACACATGGAAATGTACACACATCGTAAGTGTACAACTGGATGAGTTTTCAGAGTACATATGCCCAGGTGACCAGCACTGGATTAAGAAACAACACAACCACCTCCCAGAACACCCAAGGATGACCACTATCATGACTTCTCAAATCATAAGTTCTTGTTATTGAACTTCATATAAATTCATTTAATGTGGACTTTTTTCTGAGACAGGGTATCACTATGTAGTTCTGGCCAGGCTGGCCTCCAACTCACAGCAATCCTCCTGCCTCAGCCTCCTGAATGCTGGGATTACAAGCATCCACCACTACACCCAGCCTCTAATGTGTACTTTTGTACCTTCTTTTCCTCAGTTTGTTTATGGTACTTGCCCAATGAGTTTGGGAGGACATCAGCCATTCTGGTTGCTGTCTCTACTATGAATTGGTCGTAATTCATCTTCCATCCAACCTGATGGGTTGTTTCCCGTCTGGGGCTATTGTGAGTAGTGCTGTGGACATTCTTGGTGCTCATGCAAATGCATCTGTTAGGCGTAGACAACTGAGTAGTGGAAGTGCTGGATCATAGGGTTGGCATAACTTAGGCTGCACTAGAAAACTGCCGATTTTCAAGCGGCTCGATCACAAAGTTACACACCCTAGGAAGATAAGGGGGTCCTGGCGCTCCACCTCCTCGCCTTCACGTGGTGTGGTCTGTCTAACTGCTCATGCAGGTGCAGGAGAGCCACTCACACGTGCAGTCTGCCAGGCAATAGGCGCTCATGTAATGTACTGTTGAATGAATGAACAAGCTGCGCAGTGTAACACCAGCCAGCCCGGAGAGGGCGGAAGTACGCGCTCACTCCACACACACGTACACATCACACACGCACGCGCTACCCACACGCACGCGCGCGCCGCCTTTAGGGGCGCCCCACACACACCCTCGCGCCGCCCGCGCCCACGTGGTCTGACCCGCGGCCCCGCCCCCGCTCTCTCAGGCCGCGGGGCGGGGCCGGGCGGCAGGAAGCGGGGCGGGGCCTAGAGGAGGCCGCGGGAGCGGGAGGGCGCGGCCAACTCCCGAGGGCCGTCCGGCTGCTGGAGCGGCGCCCGGGGCTGGCGCGGAGCCGAGTCCGCCGGACGGGAGGCGGCCCCGCCGGGGGCTCGGCCCGGCCCCAGCGCTGCCACCATGGCCGGCCGGACCGTGCGGGCCGAGACCCGGAGCCGGGCCAAGGATGACATCAAGAAGGTGATGGCGACCATCGAGAAGGTCCGGCGATGGTGAGCGCTGCCCCAGCCCGGCGCGGGGCTCGGCGAGGCCCCCCCAAGGAGGCTCCCTCGCCTCGCCGCCGGCCGCAGGTGCGAGGCGGTCCCCGCCCGCCGCTGCCGCGCCCTGGCCCACAGGGCTCGGTCCCCGCTCCCGCGCCTTCCCGGCGGCTACAAAGCGTGGTCCCGCGCCTTCCCAGGCGGGCGGGCGCTCCCTCCTGCGTCCCGCCCGGCCCTGACACTCCTCCCGCCCGCGCCCTCCGGCCCAGCTGGCCCCCTGACCGCGCCCCTCGGCGAACTGGCCCTGCCTTCCTGGGCTCACCCGACCGCAGGTCCCCAGCCTCTGGGGCCTCCCCTGCAGGCCTGACCCGTCCCCTACCCTGCCACAGGGAGAAGCGCTGGGTGACGGTGGGCGACACTTCCCTTCGTATCTTCAAGTGGGTGCCAGTGGTGGACCCCCAGGAGGAGGTGAGCCAGCCCCCCAAACCCTCCCCTGCATCTGTGCGACCTCGGGCACCCCCCTCCAGTCCGCACTCGCACTCGGAGACCCCCAGTCTGCCGTCCAGACAGATGTTAATGTTTATTAACAACTCCGCCCCTTCCCCTCTTCGCTGCTCCAGCCTGAGTTCGAGGCGGAGCCACGCCGTGCGCACAGCCTGTCACCTCGGGCAGGGCCTTCTTTGCCCCCGCTTCCTGTCTCGGGAGGGCCCTGACCCTTATCCCTCTAACCCCAGGAGCGACGGCGGGCAGGTGCCGGGGCGGAGAGATCCCGGGGCCGAGAGCGGCGGGGCAGGGGCACCAGTCCCCGAGCAGGTGGCCCCCTCATCCTGCTAGATCTCAATGGTACGTAGGGATCCTGGGATTTGGGGGGCTGTAGGAATTGAAAGAGGATACTGGGGGCTCAGGCCAATCCTCTTAGCTTTTGCTTCCACAGATGAGAACAGCAACCAGAGTTTCCATTCCGAAGGCTCCCTGCAGAAGGGCACAGAGCCCAGCCCCGGGGGCACCCCCCAGCCCAGCCGCCCTGTGTCACCTGCTGGACCCCCGGAAGGGGTCACTGAGGAGGCTCAGCCCCCACCGCTGGGCCAAGAGAGAGGTAGGACCATGTGCCTCCCAGGAACCCTCTACTCTGAGTCCTGCTCTCCAGAGGCCTCGAACCTGTGCCCCTTCTTGGGTGGCCTCCTGGGGGGTGACCCTTGACCCCTGCAGGCACTTCCTCTAGCTGCTGTGCCTCATTCTTCTGGCTTCTTATGATCTGTAGATACAGCATCATCATCTGAGATTTTCATGCACGTTTAATTCTTCAGTAATTTACTCTTTGTATTCTTGTCTCGTGTCAGCTTCTTAAATATTTTTTTTTGGTACCAGGAATTGAGCTCAGGGCCTCGAGTTTGCCAGGCAGGCTCTGCACCACTGAGCATCCCCAGGCCTTGTCAGCTTCTTAAATGTTGGGCCCATATTGATCTTGTTCAGTACTATATCCTCAGTATACCATGGGACACATAATAGGTGCTCAATAAATATCTCTCAAGTGAATCAATGATAATGATAGCCAGGTATGGTGGCGTATACCTGTAGTCCCAGCATTCTGGAGGCTGAGGCAGGAGGATTGCTGTGAGTTCGAGGCCAGCCTGGGCTACATAAAAGTTTAAAGCCAGCCTGAACTGCACAGCAAGACTTTGCCTCTAAAAAAAAAAAAAAAATAGTGATAATCACAGGAGTGATTAATAGTAATGGGGTAGTAATAGCAAATATTTATTGGCTGGATCTCTTTTGTGTACCATGCACCCTTCTGAGCCCTTCACCTGCTTTCTCTTACTGAATCCTTGCAACAGCCTTATAAAGGTCATGGTCCTATTATGGTCCCTATTTATGGAAGAGGAGAATGAGACCCAGAGAAGTTAAGTAAGGAACCTAAGCTTACACAGCCCTGGGCCTGAGGCCCTCTGCTCCTCTGTCTTCCATAGTCAGCACCCTGTCTGGTCAGTGCACCTCCATGGCTTGGGCTCCTGTCTTTCAGTTGCACCTGTGCTGCCTCCTCACTGGTTTCCAGGTGCCTCCACACAGGTGACAGAACAGTTTTCTAAAGCACAGCTTTGATGGGTCATTTTCCTGCTTTGTATCCTTCAGTGGCTCCCCATAGCCTTTGTGGGACCTTCACAAACTGTTCCCTGCTGGCTTCATTGTTTCCTTTGAAGACCCATGACCTGGGCCTCGGGGCTGGGTCTAGATCATGCCAGGCACTCTCACGCTTTTTCTTTTCTTTTTTTGTGGCACTAGAAATTGAACTGAAGGCCTTTGCACTAAGCTACATCCCAGCCCTTTTTTATTTTGAGACAGGGTCTTGCCGAGTCTCTAAGTTACCTCGAATGGGCTTGAATTTTTGATTCTCCTGCCTCACCCTCCCAGAGTGCTGGGTTTACAGGTACTTTTATACCTTTGCTAATATAAAAAAGATAGGAATTAGGAGTGTAGCTCAGTGGTAGAACACTTGTCTAGGAAGCCCAAGGCCCTAGGTTTAATCCCCAGCACTGGAAAAAAAACCTAACTAGTATTCCAGACATGATATTATTTCACTTAATCCTCACAGAAGAATTATCATGTGATAATTACTGATATCCCCATTTTGCAGATGAGAAAACTGAGACCCAGAGAAATCAAATGGCTTGCTCAAGGTCAGAGTTTGAACTGAGGCAGTCGGGCTGCAGCATCTATGCCCGCTAAGCATGTGTTCAAGACCCTGCAGCAATTGCTTTCCTTTGTCTACATCCTAGATGGCAGTCCGGGTCCTGGCTCCTCTTCTCAGCTCTCACAGCCTCCGCTTATGAGGCTGGTACCCGCTGTGCTTGTTTTCCCCTCTTTCTGTGCTACGGGCTGCTCAGAGAAGTCTGTTCGCTTGACATTGCAGAGCCCATGGTCACACCTGCAGGCGGGACCGATGAACCCCCAATGCTGACCAAGGAGGAGCCTGTTCCAGAATTGCTGGAAGCTGAGGTGAGAGAGGCCAGAAGGCTGCACTGCCAGGTCTTGGAGGGCATGGGGGCTCTGGGTCCTGGGGGCTGTGCCCTGAGGTCCAGGAGGGAGATGTGGACCCTGCAAAGGCTTAGAGGCCAGATTTGGGGAATTGAAAAAAAAAGTGTTTTCGAGACAGAGTCCTGAGGTCTGGATCAGGGCTGGCTTAAGAGCATTAAAACCCTGAACTAATGGTGCTCCGCGTATGAACAAAAAAAAGCCCTAGGCTGGAGATGTAGCTCAGTGTAGCGGGCAAGCTGCACATGAGCGAGATCCCGGGTTCCATCCCCAGCACCACACACACCACCAAAATCCTAAACCACAAAAGCAGCTAAAGAAACCTCATAAACTTGACCTTTCTCACAAGGACTAACTAACTGGATGCATTTTTCAGAAAGATCAAATTCTTTCCCTGAGACAGTGCTGCCACTGTTGTTTTCATTGCCCCTGGCCCTGGGCTGGCCTGCTGGGTCGGGCAGGGAGTGGAGTGGAGGCCTTGGACAGGGCAGGGCCGGGAGGCCCACTCCAGGTTCGGTGGAGCTCACGCCTGTCCGCCCTTCCTCTCCAGGCCCCCGAAGCTTACCCCGTCTTTGAGCCAGTGCCACCTGTCCCTGAGGCAGCCCAGGGTGACACAGAGGACTCGGAGGGCGCCCCCCCACTCAAGCGCATCTGCCCAAATGCCCCTGACCCCTGAGGAGCCGGCTGCCTGTCCTGTCGTCCCAGGGGCCCCTCTGGCTTTTTACAAATAAAGTCCCTTTTGTAATTTCGTGTCATGTCATTTCCCCTGGCAGGGCTGGGAGCGTCTTTAGCGACAGTTTTGTCTCGTGTTCCATTCCTCAGATGGGGTCACTGAGGCTCGGAGAGGACCTTCCTATAGTCACCTTGCGATCAGATGTGCAGTGGGGGCTTGAGCCAGGACCCCTTCTCCTGACACCCAGCCTGCCCTCCTTCCCTCTGCCCTCTGCCCTCCCTTACCTCCCTGTCCTCCTCTGGGAAGCCCAGGACCCCTCTTCTTCCTGTCCAGTCCTCCCCTGGCCCAGCAGTCGTCCCCACTGGGCAGCGAGGCTCATGATTCCATGCCCCTCGGTCTGGAACACAGCGCCCAGAGGGACCCGAGGCCTGGGAAGCCCCACCCATCCCCACCCTCGGAGCGGACTTGTGGCCCTGCCCACCTGGGCGGAGCCAGGCTTGCACCGAGACCCCGCCCACTTGTGCTTGAGCACTCGCGGTCTCCCGCTCAGCCTCCACCTCCTCCGAGAAGCCTTTCTGGACCCCAAGCTCAATCTGGTTCCCTTGCGTGAGTCCCCACACGGCCTTGGGTGTCCTTCCTTCCGTTCTGGCACTGGTCAGGCTGTTTGGAGATCACTGGTCTGTGTGTTTGCCTTACCCACTAGGCTGTGGGCTCCTTGAGGATCAGCATTAGTGATGGGCAGCCGAGCAACTGCTTTGTGAATGAAATGGTGAATGAGTGGTCTGGGCTATCCAGGAAGGCTTCTCTGAGGAGGCAGCGTGTGAGCTGGGCCTGAGACATAGTGCTCAGTGTGGGAGATCTGTGGTCAGAAGCCCTGGTTCAAGTCCTAGCTTTGTCACTCACTATCTGTCTGGCTCTAGGCAGGCTGTTTCTACTCTCTGAGCCTTAGTTTGCTCATCTGAGCAATGGGGACAATAGCTATGCCTCACCTGCCCCAGTAGTTTGTAGGGAGTTTCATGTCATATAAGAGCCCCTCCCTCTGCCTGCAAGAGGCCCGGTCAGGTGTATAACCTCTCCACTCCCTTTTTCCTGGTATTGGGTTCACCAGGGCCTTCACACTGAACTATAGCCCCAGCCCCCCAGGCCATTTTTATTGTTTATTTTGAGATAGGGACTCACTAAATTTTTTTTTTTGAGAAAGGGTCTCACTATATAGTTCAGGCTGGCCTTGAACTCGATACTAGTCCAGGCTGGCCTCAAATTCACAGGGATCCTCCTGCCTCAGCCTCCCGAGTGCTGGGATTATAGACATCCACCACCATGCCTGACAGGGACTCACTAAATTGCTGAGTTGCCTAGGCTAGGCTTGACTTTGTGATCCTCCTGCCTCAGCCTCCCAGAGTGCTGGGATTACAGCCACGTGCCACTATACCTGGCCCTATTATTTATTTATTTATTCATTCATTTATTTATTCACTCCGGTACCAGGGATCAAACTCAGGACCTTGTGCTTGCCAGGCAGGTGTGGTGCCACGGAGCTAAATCCCCTATTTTTCTTTTTAATGAAGGAAGAGACTGAGGTTCAGAGAGGACTAAAATGAAACTGAAAAGAACCATTAAAAATGTAAACGTGTTTCCTGTCATAATATTGGAGTCAGAGCTGGCTGGGCCCAGGGTGCAGTGACGTGATGTAGTTGTTCCACTACTGCTGTAACAAATTACCACACGTTTAGTGGCTTAAAGCCACACAAATTTATTATTTTACAGTTCTGGAGATCAGAATCCAAAATTAGCCTCCCTGGGCTAAAATCAGGGTGTCAGCAGGGACAGTCCCTCCCACAAGCTGTTGGGCCCAGTCTGGTTCCTTCTCTTTTCCAGCTTCTAGAGGCCACTGCATGCCTTGGCTTGTGGCCTCTCCCTTCCGTCTCCGAAGCTGTCAGCACAGCACCCACCCTGCAGGTGCATCTTCCGCTCTGCCTCCCACTTTAATGCCCCTTGTGTTTACACTGGGCCACCAGTGTGACCCAGGACCCTCTTCCCACCCCAAGATGCTGATGTTGATCAGGCGCAAAACCTGGTTTGCCATGTGAAATAAACATTCAGGTCTGGTGATCAGGAGGTGGACATCTCTGGAGGGCCGTCAGTCAATCTGTCCCACACAGGGCAATCTCAGCCGGGTGTTCGATTCTTCCCAGTAGCCTGCCCATGGCCCTGTGAGTGAGGCAGGTGCTCTGTGAACTGCTAAGTGCCTGGAGTTAGTGGTACGATGCTGAAGCCCACAGTTCAGGTCTTGGGTTTGAGTCTTAGCTTCTCCATTCATTTGCTGTGTGCCTTTGAACAAGTGATTTAACCTGTCTTTTTCTCACCTGCCTCAGTTTCCTCATCTGTAAAATAGTGTTGATAGTAACATCAGTCTGGTAAGGCTATTGTGGGCATTAAATGGGCCAGTAGGTAGAATGAGAGCCCTTGGCTTACGAACAGTACGTCTTAATAAATGGCAGTTGTTTTTCCAGTTACCCCATTTCAGAGGAGAGAACACTAAGATGTGGAGGTCAGCAGCAGAGACCTGCTGTCTGAGGCTGGGAAGTGTTCTGGCCTGGATGGGTTGTCCCTTTCTGAGCAGGCTGGAGTTTGAGTCTCCCTGTTCTCGTCCCTCTCCTCATTGCTGACCCTGGTGACCTTGCGGGGCCAGGCCTGCCCCTCTCTCCCTGTGGCCTGTTCCCCTCCAATCTTCCTCCATCCTTCCCAGCCACCTCTGCTTGGTCATCTGCCCTGCCCTCTCTACCTCCTCCCCTCCTTTTGGAAAGTCTGCCCTTGGTAGCCCCGGGCCTCCACTGCTTGTCCCTTCTCCTCCCTCTGGCTCCATGCACCCCTGGTCTGTTCCCTCTCTGGTCTGTTGGCCTGGCTCTTCCCTTAATGAACACTCCCCACAGAGCCCCACCTTCTCTCTGAGTTAATGGTTTTGAATTCTCTGCCTCACTCAGCACCAGACGGCTGCCAGCACCTCCATGAGGAGTCCCTGTCCCACAGACCCTTGGCCCTGGGGCTTGTTTTCCCCCAGCCCCTTCCCACTGTCTCCTGTGCACTAGTTAAAGTCCACTTCCCCGAGCCACCGTGGCCGAACATCTTAGTGATTCTCCAGCTCGCTTCCCCAGGACCACACTGCTTTACTTTCTTCAGGTGCTAACACAACTCGTTGAAGCTTCCTGGCAGGTTTTCCTGCCCCACTCGTGCTCCCTTCCGATCCATGCTCCATCCCGGGGATTGAACTCAGGTCTTTGTGCTTACCAGGCAGGCGAGGCACCACTGAGCTACATCCCTGGCCCCAGCCGCCTCTGTGAAGCTGCCCTAGTCCAGCTGCAGTTTTCCTCATCCCCTGCATGGTGGAGCTGCACTCTGCTGCTTCCTCAGCTCCAGTCGCCTCTGAACTGCCCAGAGTCCACCCAGATGCAGCCCAGCACGTCTCACTTCTTGGGCTTTCTGCTGCTGTGTGCTCTGTGCGTGTGCCCTTCTTGTTCCCCTTGCTGGGCAGATTTGTTCTTGTTTCTCACCCTCAGCTGCCGGGGTGTCTTCTCTCCTCTGCTTGTGCACCCCATTCCGCACAGCACTGGGCCCCTCAGCTTTGGTCTTCAGTACCAGACTGGGAGCTCCCACATGTATTTATTCACAGTCTACCGGGCGCTGTTCTAACCCCTAGGAATATAACATAAACAACATGGAAGAAGATCAGTAACTGCTGCCATAAATCTCATGGCTTCCTATGGCTTTGCTTGGCAACCAAAGAGCATATTCAGCCTATGGCTGGAAGTTGTAAGTACAGTCATGGTAGCCTAAGGACAGAGGTATGTCCAGAGAAGTGCATCTGAGGCAGTTTCATCACTGGGCAACACTGGAGTGTACTCACACAAGCTAATGTGACTGCGATGTCACTAGGTGGTACAGTCCATTTTCACTGAGACACTGCTGTGCAGTATATGACTGTACTTAGGAAAAAACAAAGCAGAGCAAGGAGATGGGGGAAAGCAGGTTGCAGTTTTAAACAAGTCAGGAGAGCCCTCACTGAGAAGAGAAGACGTGAAGAAAAATGTGAAGGAGGTGAGGGAAAGAGCCACACATCAGGTGGAAGCAGTGCCAGGTGCAGGAACAGCCTGGGGAACACCTGGGAGGTGCAGCAGGGTAAGTGCAGGGCAGGTAGGGCCTCAGGCAGGACAAACACTGCTTCACTCAGACTTCTGAGAACCAAAGAGGGCAGCAGCAGTAATGTCAGGTAACAGGAATGCTGGGGTGACCA